TTATATCCAACTCACGATGTTAACAACTCACACAACCATGCGATCTAAGAAATAAGAAATAAGACTACTCTTTTCTTTTCTGCATCAATCTATTGCCAACTGATCCAATGCCAAAGCCATTGACATAGTCTCCCTGTACTCTTACCAGGTTGGAAGATTACCCTGTATCATAGCCCCCAACTTCTGGGGGCAAACTCATATTATCATATCGGTCATAACCGAAACCAACACCGTCAATGGCTATGAGAACTGAGCCTTGCTATCCAATATTAATTTGAAACTTCTATTGCTGACATGACTCTCCCTCAAGAACAACATCCATCCTTTACAATCTAGAAGTGGCTATGCAAATAGAAAGGGGCAATCTCAAAGAATCACAGTCTTCTAGAAAATTGACAGTGGATCGCCCCCCTTCCTGCATATTGTTTATCTGGAGAAACTTCATGACATTTTCGTCATGCGGCGATCCTACGGCCGGGGTTCGGAGTACGTGATCGGCCAGGCAGCAAAAACGGGGCCGAGATCTTCGGAGCCGGACCCGGTAAAGGATCAAACTAAGCAATTACATCCCCTGGCTGTGTCGAGGCTGAGCAATGAGCTTAACAGTTGTTGGACCAACAATTCTCTATGCGTATCAGGTCATGAGATGGAGACAGAGATTAGCGGTCTGCCTTGTGGAGTCGAGCCTGTTCTGAGGCTCAGTTGCTTCGGTCCAACAGATGAAGGCCAGCAATTGAGGCTAACAATTAAAGACCTGGGTCTTACCCAAGCGCCAGGTTGACGGTCCGCAGTAAAAGGTAAATTTGGCTACGGATGATGTCCTTGGTAATTTATGAGCATATCACCATAAGCGTAACGAGCATCGTCAGAAGGGTCGGGGCTGAGAAGGAATACATTGACTTGTCATGAAGGAGTCTATAGCCAACCATCAGACCTGCCCGACTTATACGAGGGATATCTCAAGTGGCAAATGATCAAGGCACTGCTGGGCAGCATCTGGAGATATTGGATGTTGACGACATGAGATGTTAGCGCCGGGAATCATTCTAGAATGTTATCCCCGTCCAACAGCTAGAGCTACGGCTTCTTGCTTCCGGCCATTTCCAGATACAGCAGATGCCATCCCGGCATCGCCAAGCCGAAGGGTGACCAACAATGACAAGTGGATGGACATTGACATTGACTTGAACAATTCCAAGAGGCAGTGCAACTGATCACACGTCCCCCATCCAATGACATTACACGTCCCTACAGCGCTCGAGTTATCCTCTTCTGGCCTTGCGCCCATGACATGATTGGCCAGGGTCGGCCAGTAGCTCTGCCGAGTCTCCGTGGGTGAAAAAAGTCCAGCGGTCATGGAAACCAACATCAATCGGGCGCAATGATAAGTGTTAGCCAAACTATCGTGGCCGTTTATCCTCAAAGAGGCGGAGTAGATTCAGGGATCTGCACTATTCGCCTCTGGCCCTGGGGCTAGTCTCTCGTCTTGCTGAAGCTATCTCCGAGAATGGACTGCGGTTCAGTAACATGGACGTGAGAAGACATCGCCCTGTGAGGCAGAAACAAAAGATTACCGTGTATGTCATTTGAGTAATGCTTGGCCAACGCACATCGTTACCGGGTTCACCAAAGCCGAGAACTCACCAAAAGTCTTGGCCATATCATGGATTTGAGCAAACGTGGTCTTATTTCCATAGTTCAATTGAGAAAGTGCATATCGACACTGATGAACCCTCCATCTTTAGAGTTCAGGTAAAACGCTCAAATGGCTTGTGATTGTCATTGCCTGATTTGATAATGCCTCATCCCATATCCCATCGCGTTGGTCGTATTCCCGCAACGAAATCAAGAGCTCTCTCTCTCATGCGAGACCCTAGCGGCACCTCCAAGCCTTGCGCCCCACAAGTCCCTTCCCGTAAGATCGCGTAGGCGAATCATAAATCGCCGCCAAGGTGGTTGCATGCCACGCGGGCTCCACAAATTGCAAAGTAGATCGCTCTTTCCCCGTGTCACTGTCACCTGTGCACCTCAGGGTTTCAGGCTACAGGGGTAGAGGGGCAAGAAAAGTTAGTCTGATTGACAAAAAGACTAGGTAAAATCCGAGTTACATCCTGTGAGGTATAGACTAATTACTTTTGGCACCCTGCCTCCAGGTCAGAAGTCTTTTTGCTCCCTGATGCCTGCGCCTGCATCTGCACTGCACGAAGCTTGGATTGTGTCGGGTGCGACTTCCAATGAGGTCGACGTCACCTCATTGACTTGGCGTTAGGTCGTAGCTCTGAAGGAAGGATGTATGAGCTGAGCTTGAGGGTGGGTTGGACCTGCCCGACAACATTAAATAACACCCTCTCCCCACCTCTGAAGTGAAACATTTGCATCTTCCATTGTCACTGATATTCCATCACCTAACAAAACAACACCGATCATCGAGTATTTCACAACTTCTTTGATCAACCCTAAACAGCTTTCAAGCAAGCCGTTTCTCAAATCAAATCAACACAGCACAACACAATTCACAATGTCGTCCACTGAGGGCATGATCAACGGCGGCGGAAGCTCTTCCGCAAACCCTACCAAGGCTCCTGTTATGGAGGGCAACGGCGGCTTCATGGCACAGCACAAGATGGCAGTTGAGCCTCCCAAGAAAGAAGATCTCCAGCGCAGTTATGCGACTGTTGTCGAGAACGACGCCAACCCCAAGGGCTGGTATGGCTCGATGAGTAAGTATCAGTGATCACGAAATGCATGATATGAACACATCAACTAACACGTTCAGTGAATGCCCTTGGAACCATAATTGGAACCATGGGTGCTGTACCCTGCTGCATCATATGCCCCAACCCCTTCAAGGAGGTCAACCAGGGCAATGTCGGTCTCGTCACGAAGTTCGGAAAGTTCTACAAGGCTGTCGATCCTGGCCTGGTTAATATCAACCCTCTCAGCGAGCGACTTATTCAGATCGATGTCAAGATTCAGACCACAGAGGTGCCCGAGCAGATTTGCATGACCAAGGACAACGTTACTCTTCGCTTGACCTCAGTCATCTATTACCACATTGTCTCTCCTCACAAGGCTGCTTTCGGTATTAACAACGTAAAGCAAGCTCTCATGGAGCGCACTCAGACCACTCTCCGCCACGTCGTTGGTGCTCGCGTTCTGCAGGATGTCATCGAGCGCCGTGAGGAGATTGCTCAGTCCATTGGAGAAATCATTGAAGACGTTGCCGCTGGATGGGGTGTTCAGGTCGAGAGTATGCTCATCAAGGACATTGTCTTCAGCCAGGAGCTGCAGGAGTCACTGTCCATGGCTGCTCAGAGCAAGCGTATCGGTGAAAGCAAGATCATTGCCGCTAAGGCTGAGGTAACATTCTACATCATTTTTCACTTGGCAACACATGATTAACATACTCCTCCTAGGTCGAATCCGCCAAGCTTATGCGACAAGCTGCCGATATCCTGAGCTCGGCTCCTGCCATGCAGATCCGATACCTCGAGGCCATGCAAGCTATGGCCAAGTCTGCTAATAGCAAGGTTATCTTCTTGCCTGGTGCTAATCAGACTATGGGCAACGCTCTCAATGCCGCCATGGCCAATCAGACCGGCGAATCCAGCGCTCGTGGCCTGGACATCGAAAATGACTTTGGAGGTCAGGACCCAGGTTTCCAACAGGCCATGAACGCCCGCGTCGTGGAGAACATCTAAACAAGACGTTCTTCCCTCGTGCGTATTACACTGAGGCAATGGGCTAACGCTTGAGGGTTCCCGTTTCGGGTTCTAGCCTGGTCTACTTGATTTCGGAAGCATTGCCTCGACTGCTCTCTTCTCGTCTTCATCAGAGCTACACCCCAGCTTTGCTCGTCTAACTCAACTGAATGACCTGTCACGTTTTTGCTTTCAACGCTGCACTTTGATACCCATCTCAACAACAACAACCGCCGTCGCTCATTGCGCTTTTCCGCTTTAGTGTATGTATTCTACTTTCTTCTTCTACGAGGGAGTGTTGGTGGACAGGTGGTGTCTTGTGCTTTTCTTTTTTGGTGATGGATACCCTTGGTTTGCTCAGATGAGCATTTAATGAGGATGGATTCTGGATGATCTCCTAATGTCATGGAAAATACCCAATCGCTATGAATATACCCTTTTCCTTCTGAAATTGCTGTGTCTGTGAAGTGCTTCATATGTCCGTGAAATCGGAAGAACTCTTGCTGCATGTGAAGGTCTTGAATTGCCAAATCGTGTTGTTTCCGTGCTAGTGACAAAAAGACTTGGGTAAATCGAGGTAAATCGAGGTAAGTTTGGGCAATTATAGGATAACTTAGAAGGGCTTCAGACTAATTATTCCTCGCACCATGGCTGAAGATCCTCAGTTTTATTGCTCCTTGGGCGGCTTCAGAATGAGTGTCGAACGAAGCAAGACAACCTTATACATATTCGAGGAGACATTACGAGACATCACACTGCATGATGCAGCCGGATCTTCACGACTAACGAGTTCATTTAGCAATCACAATATCCAGGGCATGCAAACTTGAGGATTAACTTTTAAACTTGACAATTTTCTCTTCTATATCCCTCTGTTCACCCTCCCGTAATGATACATCAAAAGCATAGTAATTCCTCTCCAGAAGTCACCGCGCATCCACCCAGGGGACGGGGGAGGGGACAGAGGGTCAAGTTGAAAATACGAAAAAGGGATAAAACCAAATCACGCCAATATGCCCTCCACCCAAACGCCAGCCAGCCAGGAAACAAGGTGCGGGCAGAAGATGCCATGCCAAGAGTCTCTCAGGTATCATATATCTACACATCGGGAACCATCCAATAGTCTGTTGTTGGGTTGACTTGAAATATGATCTTTCATTTTGGAGCGGGTTTCTTCGTCAGTGTTTAGACGAGTACGAGTAAAGCAGGTAGGATGAGATTGGTTAACCTCGGAGTCCTACAATTGTGCCCGATTCAGCATCGTCACGACTTGCGCCGTGGACGTTTACTTGAGGGCCTCTAAGCCTCAGAGTGTCGCTTCTTCTTCTTCTGCTTCTTCTCCTTCTTGGGCTCCTCGTCTTCTGAGTCATCGTGCTTGCGCTTCTTCTTGCCATCAGTCTCTTCGGCGGCGGGTTGCGACTTGGAAGGCGTGGCCTTCTCCTCGGCCTTTCGCAGCTTCTTGAGTTCCTTCTTGCTGATGACCTTGGGTGTGCCATCGGCGTTCATCTCAACGTCACCTCGCTCGTACTTGCGCTTGAACTTCTTGACTGAGATACCGGCCTCCTCGGCAAGGCGCTCGTAATCGGCCTCGGAGAGCTTCTTGGGCTTGCCAGGAGTGGCAACCTCGTCGTCGCTGTCATCCTCAGCATCCTTCATCTCCTCGTCAACCTCCTCGATGAGCTTCTTGGCCTTCTTGAGCTTCTTGGCGGGAGTGGCTTCATTGGCCTCCTCGTCATCGGCGACACCATCGGCATCACCGTTGTATCGGCGGGTCTCCTTAAGAGTGAACTGACCAGCACCAACAATCTCACCAGAGGGAGTGACGTTGGCGCCCTTGGGCAGAAGAGGCTTGCCCTCAAGCTTGCGGAGGTGGTTCTCAAGCTTGATGCGGTTGCTGAGACCAAGGATAGCGCGTTCCTCCTCATCAGCGTCGTCTTCGGTATCACCTAGGGCATCGACACGGAGACCTAGAGCAGCCTTGGCAGACAGCATACGAGCGATCTTACCCTTGTTTCGGCCGGTGGCCTGACCGATGAGTGAAGAGTGGTAGATGAGACCATACTTAGGTGTATCGTGCTTGGTCTTAAGGGCGCGGAAGAGGGCCTTCTCGGCACCGAGAATCTGGATGGTGGAACCAGGAGACTTGGCCAAGCTAATGAGAGAGCCAGCGTGGGCAATGAGACGGGCACCGACGAGGTAGCCGACGAGAGCAGTCAGGTTGGGAGCGATAGCGCGCATGCGGCTCTCGAGGTACGAAGAGAGCTGTGTTCGGTAGTTTGAGTAGACAATGACCTGGTCAGCCAGGAGCTTAATGTTGTCAAGATCCTCATCGGTGATCTCGGTACCCATGCTAATCTCGGCAGCGGCCTTGATGGAAGTCTCAATCTCCTCGGGAAGGATCTCGGAGAGGTCGCTATCGGCAATGTTGGTGCGCATGCCAACAGCGAGAATGACGCGAGCGTAAGCCAAGTTGTCGTTGAGAATCTTGGCCATCTCAGGGAAGTGCCATCCATACCACTCCTTGGTTCGCATAGCGTAGACGTTGAGCTCCTTGTCGAGGTCGTCGAGAAGCTTAATGGCCTGGATGATCATGGAGTCGACCTTGTCGGCAGAGAACTTGAGCTTGTGACGCGACATGGAGTGAGAAAGACCAAGGGCCATGCGGTCAAAGTTCTCCTCAAGCAGACCAGGGATAAGGTTGGGCAGTCCACCTCGAATGCCACGGAAGAGGTCCATGGTGTTGGAGCCAGAAACAGGAGAAATGTTGAGCGAGGGCATGTTAGAGATGGCAGTGCCCAGCTTCATATCGGCGACAGCGAGCGAGGCCTTCTTCTCGGACTTGAGGTCGTCGAGGAGTTGGGTGAGAAGCTCAGGGACCTTGCCCTCCTTGAGCGACGCAGCTTCTTCGAGAGCGGTAGCGGCGCTGTCGAACTTGACAAACTTCTTGAGCTTGAGCCTATCAAGGGGAAACATGTTAGTGAGGCTCTTGATGGTATTTCGCCATTTGGCGATGGTCCACTCTGCGATTGAAGACATTTTTGGGTGCTCAATGGCATAAGTTTTCGCAAATAAAAAATGTTCAAAACTTACATCTCAACGACCTTCTCAGGTCGTCCAAGCTCAGCAGCGAGATCCTCGTTCTTGAGCATCTTCTTGTCAGTAGCCTTGAACAGGCCATAGCTGCCAATTGTTAGCCCGGCTTCCTAGACCTTCACTTGCCTCGCCATCATGAATTGATGATGGTCGAGGTCAAGACCGAGAGTCGCGACTTACCCTGCCGGCGTCTCGGCAAGCACAAAGAGCGACATTGTGAATTAGTTTTGGTTCCTTCCTTCTGGTCTCGCTCTAATCGATTGGGGTCGTGGCTTCCTCGCGAGGCACAGTCCGGTTCGTTGTGCGCGGCTGCGAAAGGAAAGATCGAGGGTGGGCTGGCGATGGAAAAATTTCAGATGAAGCTTGGGAAGGCTCCACTCAATTTTTTTGGTCTTGGTCCTGGCGCGGAAAGTGTGATGCAGGTTCTTCGGCCGCCGGAGCTACTTGCTTCCGGTTTCTGCATCAGGTACGTACTCCCAGCCACTGACTCCTGGCCACTCACGTGTCGACGCTCGCGACAGCATGTCTGGGCAAGCTTGCGTCGCAGGCTGAGGTTTGTTAGGCGGCCAACTTCAACAATCCAGTTAATTCATCGCCTCGGCCACGAAGACGCCCTATAATCCTCAAGGCCTCAAATACGATAGATCAAGACCGAACGAACTACCACGAACGAGAATCAAGATGGAGGGTCTTCTCTACAACGTCAACGGCGGGTGCGTATTAGCTTCAAGATGAAGCTTCGTACGAGTGGTTCTGGAGACTAATCATAAGGAACAGCTACGTGGAAGGAATTGTCCGAGGCTACCGCAACGGTCTTCTCACAGGCGCTGCCTACAACAACTTGACTCAATGCGAGACGATTGATGGTACGCGACGATGACTTCATCACCAACTTCATTATACTAACGACTACAAGATCTCAAGCTTCAGCTTGGCCCTTCATATGGCGATTTTCTCGCTTCCCTACCACCTAACCCCTCGACTTCAGCCCTCGCAGCCAAGACCACCGACAAGCTCATCTCAGAGTTCCGATATGTGCGCGCTCAAGCTGTCGGCTCTCTTGCTACCTTTATGGACTACGTCACCTACGGCTACATGATCGACAACGTCGCCCTTCTCATCACAGGAACCCTTCATGAGCGGGATACCCGTGAGCTTCTTGAGCGATGCCATCCTCTTGGATGGTTTGAGACTATGCCAGTTCTCTGCGTTGCTACAAACATTGAGGAACTTTACAACAGCGTGCTTATCGAAACCCCTCTTGCCCCATACTTCAAGGGCAGTCTTAGCCACCAGGATCTTGACGAGCTAAACATTGAGATTGTCCGAAACACACTCTACAAGAACTATCTCGAGGACTTTTACAACTTTGTCAACACTCACCCTGAGATGGCTGGTACACCCACTGCTGAGGTCATGTCTGAGATTCTCGAGTTCGAGGCTGACCGCCGAGCCATCAACATCACACTCAACTCTTTCGGCACAGATCTTTCCAAGCAAGACCGTAACAAGCTCTACCCCAACTTTGGCAAGCTATACCCTGAAGGAACTCTCATGCTCTCTCGAGCTGAAGACCCTGAGGGTGTCCGTCTAGCAGTTGATGGTGTTCATGACTACAAGTCTTTCTTTGACGCCATTTCAGTCGGTGGCGGCCCCTCAGGACCTGGTAACATGGGTGGTGGTGCTGGTGAGACCAAGACGCTGGAGGATATGTTTTACCAGAAGGAGATGGAGATTTCCAAGAATGCATTCACCAGGCAGTTCACCCACGCCATTGTCTATGCTTGGGTAAAGCTCCGAGAACAGGTTAGTAAATCCAACATGAGTGCCTTCCATCAGACTAACAAATCACAGGAAATCCGCAATATCACCTGGATTGCCGAATGCATAGCTCAGAACCAGAAAGAGCGCATCGGCAACTACATCAGCGTCTTTTAAATCGAGTATGGGTATTGGCATCGTTTTCATTTTTAGCAGGATTTTGTGTAGTATAGCAGCAACTGAGCTCGTAATGGCACGGATTAGTTCCCACACTGGCGCAAAGGACAGATAGGTAGATGCAAAAGGCGGCATCGTCGCCCCATCTTTCAGGTGGCTTGTATTGTACATAGAGAGAAACAAGTTATTCTACAATATCATCTCAGCTCCCGCCCTGTCTTTACAACGAAATCTGGTCCTTCCATGTCGCAGGTGTAAGACCCAGCTTCTCGACCATGTGAGTCCATCGCTCACTTCCCCTCTCCTTACGGTCCATGTACTTCATCAGCTTTTGTCGACGGTGCAGCAATAATCTCAAGTTTCGCTTGTTGTGCTTATCCTTGTATCCTCTGTTGATCTGCAGCGCCTGAGAGAGGGTGTTGATCTTGGTTGTCAAGATGGCGATCTGAACCTCGGAGCTGCCTGTATCAGGACCGCTTCGAGGTGGCATTTCCACTTCGTTGGGATGAATTGATTTTGGCTTGCCCTTCAGAACCAGGTCTGTGTTGTGACGGCCGAATTCCTCAACGATTCGTCTCACGTTGGCGTGGAAACGGTCCTTTGCGCTGCTGTTGCTGAGCGATGTGATACGGCGCAGAGCCTCAATAGCCTTCTGATGACGCTGCTCGTGTTGCTTCGCCTTATCTACTCCACTCTCGGGTTCCATCTGTGACTCGACCACGCCGATCATGGGTTTGGTAAGGGTATATGCGTGCTTGACAGCCTCAGTGAGTTCAGAGTCGGTAAGGAAGTAGTTTCGTAGTTCCGGAGATGTCGGTAGCTCATGTGCTTCGGCGAGCGGGTTTCCACTTCCATCCACAGGAACACGGGATGCAGCCTCTTGACCAGCCGATTCAAGAGACTCTATAAAGGGAGTTGTCTTTCCCTTGACAGGATCACCCCACGCCTCATCCCTTTCACGGGCGAGCTCCTCACGCCGTTGTACATTGGCAGCCTTTCGCTGCTGAACCTGAGCCCATCGATAAGGATCCTGCTTCGCCTTGCGCTTCTTCTCACGCTGGGACAAGTTGGCCGTTTGGACGATGGGGAGGAAGTTCGGGGTAGCGGGCTTCGCGGCGGGTCGGAGGCAGACTGAACAATTGATTAGCATTGAGGAAGCTAATGGCTATATAAGTACATACGGTTCAATGTGCCGAAGCGCGGCAGCGCCGGTATTCTGGGGGGCATGATTGAAGCATCAACCTACTGCTTTGATACAGAGACTGATGGATTGTCGTCTAAAGCCAAAACCCGCCCCAAATTTTCCTTAGCCCACCCTGCCAATGCCGCCGTGGTACCGTAACCCACTGAGCACCAAAACGGATTAGTCTTCCTATCACGTGGAGATACCGTACCAGATCTCTTATCTCCCAGCTAGCCCATGTTTAGCCTAGCGTATCCATCAGGGCTTCCCACCTCCCACATTTTGGTGGTCAAAATTCGGTCGCGAACTTCTCGATTTGCGATTCTCTGCACGCAACACCACAATCCTCTTCGCCGTCACCTTCCAAGCCATCCTTCCTTTTCGTCACCCAAGACAAGAGAAGATAATCCGTCAAGATGGCTCCCTCCAACCTGCCCGCCCTCTTCAACGCTACCAGCCAGGACATTGAGACCCTCCTGGCTGCTCAGTGCCACCTCGGCTCCAAGAACCTCCAGGTTCACATGGAGAACTACCTCTGGAAGACCCGTGCCGATGGTGTCAACGTCATCAACGTCGGCAAGACCTGGTATGTTTGAATTGGAATTATGCTGGGAGTTTTGGGCTTCAAGATGGTCTGTTTGGAGGGGGGATTGAAAGCGCATATTCGATATTCGAAAAATTGAAGCTATTCAGAGGAGGGGCAGAAAATCTTGAAACCAAAACACCAAATAATTTCGCGCACAATCGCTAACAGCTCATCTCACAGGGAGAAGATCGTTCTGGCTGCCCGTATCATCGCTGCCGTCGACAACCCCGCCGATATCTGTGTCATCTCTGCCCGTCCCTACGGTCAGCGTGCCGTCCTCAAGTTCGCCGCCCACACTGGTGCCACCGCCATCGCTGGTCGCTTCACCCCCGGTTCCTTCACCAACTACATCACCCGATCTTTCAAGGAGCCCCGTCTGATCATCGTCACCGACCCCCGCACCGACGCCCAGGCCATCAAGGAGGCTTCCTACGTCAACATCCCCGTCATTGCCCTCGCCGACACTGACTCTCCCACCGAGTACGTTGACGTTGCCATCCCCACCAACAACAAGGGTCGCCACGCCATCGGTGCCGTCTGGTGGATGCTCGCCCGTGAGGTCCTCCGTCTCCGTGGTACCATCTACAACCGCGAGACCCCCTGGGACGTCATGGTCGATCTTTACTTCTGTATGTTTCCCTGTAACTAACACCAGCAATCTGTACTGACAATTCGCAGACCGTGACCCCGAGGCTGAGGCTGAGGACAAGGTTGAGGAGGAGAAGGTCCCCGGCGCTGACGAGGAGGGTCCCGCCGCCATCGAGTCCGGCTTCCAGAACACCGCTGGTGGCGACTGGGAGACTCCCGCCGCTGGCTTCGCTGGTGCCACCGGTGCCGCTGCCCCTGGCTGGGATGGTGCTGCCGGTGAGGAGTGGGGTGCTGCCCCCGCCAACACCGAGTGGGCTGCTTCCGCCGAGGCCCCCAAGGACTCTCAGTGGTAGGGTACTGAGGCCCAGGAGGGTGATGGCCAGGGACACCAAGAGCCTGCCATTGACTGGTAAAACAAGAATTCAAAAAAGAGGATACCAAAGCAAATTCAAAACAAAGATTGAATTTGAACACATTTGGAACGGTTTCGCGACGAGAGAAAGAGAGCAGAAAAGCGTGTGGATGTGTGTTGTGGTTCAATCAAACTATTCGACAACGTTAACCTTTTCCTCCCCCCCTTTCGATAACACAATTCTTCTTGCTGACTATCTTACGAATTAACATCCGTGGGAATTGAGGTTTTCAACTCGGCGGTGCTAATGAGGGAAAGATACTCTCCTCCTTACTTTTGGGATGGAGAGGGAAAGCCCTGCGCTGCTGAGGGGATGGACTTAATCGTTATCCCGCCTTGTTTCTATGGAATTTGTATTGATGCGAGAAAAGTCAAAATATGAGTCGTCTGACCTGGGTTTACCCATGACATGATTGTGTGCCGTAAATATGCTTGTGAAGTTTTGTGTTTACTAGTAAAACTTCTGTATGCTAAGATGAGGACGATCAGGTCTTTAAAGTACCAGCGTCATCAAAGGAGCGAATTATGTTCACGTAGTCAACAGCATAAGACAGAATCAACTCGTCGTAAACATGGTATCAATTGTCAATCCTCACTACATCTGCTCATCCTAATCCCTATGATATATCAACAGCCAACTCCCCTTATCACTCCACCTAACGTTAACACTAATTAAAGTGAATCCAAACTGGCCGTTCTATCAACTGAGAAACCAAAAAAAGGGACAAGACGCAACATGACGCTTGCGCAGTGCGGGTATGATAAAAAACCAGGATGAGAGAAACCCCCATAGATGAATCGTGTGAAATACACAAAAAAAAGCTTGCCCAACTCCTTGCTTTGTGTCCCAGATGCTATTGATTGTAATGATGATTATGTTGTATGTCTTGGGAGAAAAGAGAAAACTCCTGGTGTGGTGGTATGTGAAAGAGTTATGAGATGGGTATAATGTGAAGGCATGCTGGGTATGCTCTTCTTGTGGTGTTGAAACATAGGAAATGAAACGCCGTTTGGGGTCGGTGAGTCATAAATCGTTATTATCGTTCCCGTATGTGTATGAATTGTGAAATTGTGGTAGGTAAACCACATCGTTGAAGAGTTTACTCGAGCATTTCCGAGTGGCGTCGAATGTCCTCGTCGCTCAAAGCGCTCATCCAGAGACAGCGCTCAGTGATACCTTCGATGGGCTGGAACTTGTATCGGGTGCTGGCCTCCAACAGCCTAAGCAGTGTCTTGACGACAGAGGCCGCAATGCGACATCGTTCAAAGTTGATCAGGGGAGGCGTGGTAGGTGAGCCAGCCATCTCAGATGGTCGCTGAGCATTGTAAAGCAGATCGTGGGTATAGATACCAACGAAAGGAATACAGCCTTGGTCAGAACCAACCTCCATCTCCGCACGTAGGTTGTAGAAGTTGCGCATAGGAGTGACCAGCTTTTCAAGATCTTGTAGTGTCTTCAAGTCTTGAGGAGCAACATGCTGCCAGGTCTTGGTGAGTCTGGCGACTTCGTTGCTCGACAGGGCGATGGTGAGCTGAGCGAGGGTAGCAAAGTTGCGGTAACGGCGACAGTGAGTGGCAATATGGATGTACTTGGTAATGCATCGTACTCTCTCCTCCAGGCCTTGTGTCAGGACAATCTCAGATATGGCCCATTTGACCATGATGTTAAACCGAGCAATGACTACTTCAACACCATGGGCGTCAGAGTTACGAAGGAAGTCAACCCACGAGCGAGAGTCGCTATGAGCAGCATCCTTCCAGTTCATGTCAATGAGTTCCTTCCAGTCGATCTCGTTCAACGCGTCCTTTTCGATGAGTGTGAATTGTTGAGCAAGAATCTCCGAGTCAAAAGCCAGGATGAATGGCAAGTGAGCAGAATACTTGTTGCTCTCGAAGGAGTCCACCTTAGCAACTTGACGAAGTGCATCGGTTGATGGTTGATCAGCTGTCTGAACGTACGCAGCGGTAGGTGTAGTCTCTGGAGTTGGAGGAAGAGGCTTCTGGCCCCAAACTTGATCCTCATGTAACTCAGGGACTGTGAAGCAGTGAGGCGGAGACATCTCCAGTGCTTGCACCAAAGTCATGGGAGGAGAGGGAGGCTTGCGGTTAGGAGGTGGAGCAGGCGAGCCAAGAGGATGAGCAGGGAGCTTCACTCTAGGCAAAACGCCGTCACCGTATTCAGAGTCCTCGTATTCGAGGGCATCCGCCGACATCTCTGATGAAAGGTCGCTATCATCGTCAAGGAATGATTGGTCCTCCTCCACTGAGGGGGCAGTATCGCCAGGCTTGATGCCTTCAATGCTCCGCGTCTTCTCAATAAAGTCGTAAGAAGCATGCTGCGAGTCGCCTCCATCTTCGGTATACAAGACGGTCTTGTGTGGTCGAGGCGTTGTTTCTTCATCTGAGCCCTCGAGAATGGACATGTTGGTCCAAGGACGACCCTTTGCAGAGTCTCGATCCAAGATGGGGACAGAGGAGTAGCTTTCGCGAGAAGAACCAGTCAAGAATGATCTAGCTTCGGTTGTAGGTCTCTCGGGTGAGAGGTTTTGCCCTTGCGGCTCAATCAAAGGCTCTGGTTCACTATCCTCAGGGTCCAGCATGAACGTCTCCCTGACCATCAGCTCTTGTTCATGGTGATTCTTCTTGCGATCCGCTTCTGACTGCTCTGAAGCGATCATGACCTCGCCGATTGTCTGAGGGGGAGCTTGAAGGCTGACAGCGGATTTGTGTGACTTCTTCTCGGGGAGCTTGCCCTCAAGCTTGGCTAAAGCAGATTCGATTCCGCCATCGTCGTCATCATCTGGGATCTGAGCCAGTTTCTGAGCCTCCTTTTCGAACGACGGGCGCATGGCTGGCTTGGATGAGTGAGTGCTGAACAGTGAAAGCTCTCGCTTCGGTTTGTCCGCAAGTTGTCCAACAGAGAAGGCCTCGCTTCTAGGCTGCACGTACTCAATGGAGACAACTGAGCCCTGCCCGAAAGATCCACGGCCAAAAGACGCCATTCGAGGGCTCTGCATGAAAGAGCTACGAATTGACTCTGAATATGTTGTCAACGATCCAACAGATTGCGATCTCCTCAAGGTAACAGGGTCCAGCTCTCCCACGTTCGTGGCCGCTCGAAGGTCTCCTCCGGGTCGTCGTCGAAGAATTCGCAGAGGCGGTGGCATAGGCTCTTCAGGCTCAGGTTCCGCGACCGATTGGGCAGAGACTGTTGTGGCATCGAAGCTCTGAACTGTGGATCGGCGAGCGAGACCGTTGGTAAATGAGCTGCGGCGGCGAAGGATCGAGTTCAAAGACCGATGAGTCCTGCCAGATTTATTGCGACGGTGGTTCTCATACGACACAGGTGGGCGGTTGCGAGTGCTTCGAGCTGCTGTAGAGTATGAGACTCGGCTGCCGTCCTCTGACATTGGTGCGCTGGTGACAGGGGCGAGGGTCTCGAAGTCAGGGACAAATGGCGGCAGAGGATCTTCATCTAACGATGGCCGAACAACATGTTGGTTGAGGAGGTATGAGGAACGTCGAGGTGTGTTTCCGCCATTGCCAGCCGGAGGAGTAGAGGGGGGCGTTGGATCGCCTCCCGTCAACTTGAAAGTATCTGCAAAGGCCTCTACAGAAGCATTGCTGTTAGGAATTCGGTGGAGGAGCGACGGGTCGAACGGTGTTGTGTCATCTACAATGACAATTGATTTGCTGCCTGTAGTAATAGCCATGTCGCTAACCGGTCGATGTCGATGCTCGTGTGTCATATGATCATAAGTGGTCGTATCCATATGAGCAGCCGAGTAGTGAAAGTCTCCAGTAGGAGTCAAGGATGGGTTAGGAGACATCGGCGGTGGTAGTCCGCGACGATCAGCTTCAGCGGCAGCTTCGTCTCGCACCGCCTTCTTGAAATCCTCTACGATCTCAGCACCGAGCAGGTCAATTCTGACAGTCGGGCGAGCTCCATTAGGTCTATGGCGACTTTGAGGTACGACAGCCGTTCCAGGGATGCGATTCGTTATCGCGCCACGGGGACCAATGTTGCCAAGGCTAACGAGACTCCCTTGAGTGGGAGACATGCCTTGTCCCCTAGTGCTCAAGGCTCTTCGAACAGTTCCCAGCAGCTTTTTCATACCGTGTCCAGACATGGCGCCAGCGGGTATTCTTTCCTTGATGAGGCTTCGACTTTCAGGGTGAAGGTTGGGCGAAGGGACCAAGCTGGTGGAGAATTCATCCGGTTCTACATCGACGAAAGCCTGACCAGGAGGTAACAAATTTCCACGGACAAGACTTCCTCCATATGGGGTTGTCATCATGAACTCCTGATCCTTGAATGACAGTTTATCCGTGCTGTGCTCTCGCAGGGAATCGGTCAAACTGTTGTTGCGCTTGTGAGCAGCTTGAGGTCGTACACGCTTGCCAACAAGGGCACGAGGAGTGGTTGCTACTGGTCCAGTGTGGTAAGCTGAGGTCGATACAGGATGAGCAGCCAGAGGGTTCGTCTGATGAGGCTGAGCAGGTTTGATCTTGCTAGGAAAAGAGCACGAAATGATGTCCATGCTAGTCATGCTGATTGGTGATGTCTGCTGTTCTGCTGAATCCCTCGCAGTTTGCCGTTCAGGGGTGCTGGGACGGTGCTCAACCACAACAGAATCACCAACATGGCCAGCTCGAGAAATATCGGCGATGAAACTTGTTCGTTCTGCGGGGCTCCTTCTGAGTGGTAGTAGGCTTTCGATTCGGGGTGTTTCGCCATCATCACGGTCCCAGAAAGAAGGATCCAGGCTGGGATCGCGATGTCCAGCAATACCACCAGGCGTAATAGGAACGCTAGAGTCGAGGGTGTCGTCGAAATTCGGGCCATCCCAGTACAGTGCGCAAACCCTTCGCCAACACTTCTTTAATTCTCCAAGAATCTTCAGCTGAACCTTTCGAGACCGGTTGCATTGCGAAAGTTCA